GTTGAGTACTGCCCCATCCAGTGCTACTAATCTGCCGTATATTTCAAATCTCTAAACGAATTTCAGCATATCAAGCAAATAGACTTCTACTCTTAATTAACCCTGTAAATGCTTTCAAAACTTAATTACACGCTTAGAACAAATTGATATATGAGTTGTGATGGGGAATCGTAGCAAAACCAACACAGATTTTGCGATTATAGTTTGCATAAGGAAAAACGAAGTTTTCAATATATGACACTTAAATTCAGTATCATTCAATAAATGGAACGTAAAGTAAAGATTAGTCGGTGATGAAATATTAACAGAAAAGTTTGCGTGCATATCGGTGCAGTGATACCTTAAATACTGATTTCATGCATTTCATTGTGAATATCCGCGCACTGCAGACATTTAGATCTACAAAGAGAAAACGACACAGAAATAAATCGAGTAATCGTTTACCACAAAACCACACGCATTATCCATGAAGCACCGAAATCTGACTGTCGTATGCTTTTGTTGCACGCGGAAGCAGTCTACAGCAGAGTCGAAAATTGGTGCATGAGAGACGAGGGAGGCGCTTTCACAACGCGACGGCGGCTCACCTTCGTTCAGGATGTCCGGCATAGTGCACGCGATCTGGCCGTATGAGTTCCACTGCAGGACGCGCCTCAATTCGCCGGTATCTTCTGAGTGGATGATCTCGAAGATGCTCTGCCTCAGAACGTCACACTGAAAAATAATTGACTTGCAATTGTACAACAAGGGCAGCTCCTTGCACCGCGTCACCTGGTGGTACCCTAGGTACGAGATGATGTTCTCTGATGCATAAAGCACGTCGCCCGATTCGCTCAATATCATCACAAAGCCTGAGAGTGCTTTCAGAATTGTGCTGCCGTTCTCAAAGTTGAGGTCCTTCGATTGATTATCGCTGATTGCATACTTCCACTGCGAGTCATCCCGAAGAATGGCTGTAAACAGCGTCATAAAATCATAACATTTAAACGTAAAACAGCTTGTTTCGCTACTGTTTGTCTATTTAAATTCTCGGAACTACTGCAGCTAACTTTAAATGTAACAAACAACGAGTAGAACGCTTTTGTCTGAATAACACAATCATTAAGGAATCTGGTCTCTTTCCAAGGACGTGTCATTTGTCATTCAACACGTCTGTTGACGACTCCTCTGCGGCACGGTGGCACAGTGCCTACAACGTCGACGTCAAATTCCGGAGATGTAGGGTTCGATTCCATTGAAGAGCAATCATTCTTAAAACCATGAATTTCCTTCAGGAGGGGGTTGTTCAGTCGGTAGAGCATCGGACTTTGAGCCGCGAGGTCCAGATTCGAGTCCCAGTCGGGGCCATTTGCTTGTTTTTTTTTCTGGAGTTGATACATAAGCACCGCTATGGGAAGGAATCAGAAGCTATGCACCATCCTTTCCACATAGCTACTGTTGACTCAGCCTTTAAAAATTAGGAACTCCTGATTGATGGCATCTAAATAAAAATTGGTATTCCATAATTAATTTAATGAAAAAATTGAAATTACACTTGAATGCAAATGTAAGAATGACAGACATTTCTATGGCTACAGTTTTTCTTTTTTCTCACTCCCCTACGCCAAGTGAAATTTTATGTAGACTTTTCTCTTACAAAAATTCATTTTTGCGTAAGACTGATCAACCACTGCTCAAATTTGCGCACCCCATCCCTCTTTGTTTCTGGAAATATATCAGAATAGACATTCATATTTGGTCTGCATGGGCAGTGGTTCCTTTCTGCAATTTAAAGTCAGTAAATACCAATTCGGTTGTCTTAAGTAATACAGATCAAATTTCAGTACGAAATTTTGTGCATGCCAATTCCAAATCACGGTTATTTATACCTCCTACGGCAAAAAGGTCTGCAGTGGGTTGAGTCGGGTGTTCTCTCTCACTGTTGAATAAAATGCAACTGCTGATGTAATAATAAATGTTCAACGTTTTTACTTCGCTATGAATTTTCAAAGCCTCTTCAGCACCACGCACTCTGCGCATATGACTGAGCTGTGTGAATGAAGTAGATAATCTTGGAGCAGCATGTCCAACAGTAATGCAGTGTCCTCTACATTTTTTAGATTCGCTATGGAGTAGTACCGATCTTATTTCTGCTTATACTGATGATAAATTTTTGGACCAGAACGAAATATTCAGTGCATAATCTGGGGTTCTGTGGGTACAGAATAAGAACGTGTCTGTAAGGAAAATCATGGTATGAAAAGAACAGACTATGGATTATGAAGACAATTCGAGTATTTTACAGGCTCTTTCTGTAAGCATGCGGATGGAGGGATTAATGATAGAACGAAACAGAATTAAAACAAAAATTGATCATGATATTCTGCTTTTCTAATTTGTTCCAAATCTGTAATTATGCAAATTTTGTGCTCCAGGTGATGGTCTGTGTTCATGTTGCTTTTAAATAAGGAAGTGACAGAATAACCTTTACTTGGGATACCATCCCTGAAGCAACCTGGTCCATAAGTTTTACCATTGCTACTTTATGTCGCCTGTAATATTTAGCGTAAGAAGAAGAGGAAGAATATGGCGTTAATTAATTAATTTTCACAGCTCGTTTTTTCATTGGCGTCATTCGTTCGATACTAATCATTGTCCTGCTACCTACTCAACCCCATAGTGCTGTGAAGTAACTGAAGCTGAAAAGGTAAGGTTTCAATTTAAGTTTTGTCGGCGATCTTGTTAAACACGAGGCAGAAAGCAATTTTTGCAGCAGGGCCTGAAAATTCATGGAAGTGGAACATTTATTACCCGTGAGTATTGGAGCAACTGCTGTTTTGTATGTTTGAGCGACGACTGCTAAATCTATAGCCATTCATCATTTAAGCGAAGTATCCTGTCAGCACAAAAGCGGTTTTATTATGTGCGATGCAATGTGATAGTTAATCGGGTCATATACTGTGACCGGTGTTTCAACCGGTACCTATAAGCCTTTTTCAAGGTATGGTGCCCATGGCTAAACGTGTGAATCGATGTGGTTGTCTACAACAGCTGATTACACGCAGCCGGAAGCACCAGCACGGAGCTCTTCTTCTGGGCCAAGAAATCAGCTGCTGCAAACAATCACGTAGCTTCTGCAAACCACAAGTCACCTTGCTTTGAATAAGGCTAATGAAGCGGGCATCAACGTATTATAATGAAGCCGTTTACCACACCATGTTTTAGCAATCAGTTAGTCTATTATACCCAAGAGTTTTATAGAGCGGATAAATCCAGGCATTTTATCACAAAGCTAACCGACCTATAGCCTTTCAGTTTCAGATTCAGAAGTCCTGTAGGCAATTCTGTGGCAATTTTGAAGAAAATGACGAAATATGCGATGGAACGATCAAAACCAATAACTGCTAACGAAAAGAGAAAAAAGTTCATAGTTTATGGTACAAGTTAAGAAGTTTTTCTCCTAATGATGGATGCTGAGTTATATTCTTTGAAACTGCTTGGCGGTCACAAGGCAATGCCTGATCTTCTTTCAACTTTTCAAACAGGAACACCTAGTTTCATTCACATCACGCATAAAACCTATTGTAGTCGTCGTGGTTTGACCAAAACGTTAGCCCCTTAATCCCGAAACTCTGTTTCGTTCGCACAATATGCTATTATTTATGATTTGGTATATAATTATTAAGCGAAAGTGAGGGCAAAAAATTCAATAGTAAATACTGAAACCTTGACCGAAAATTATGGAAAGAGCAGTGCTTTTCCGTGTTTTAAAATCAAAATCCAGCCCTCGCTTGACTGTGGAGAGATAATATGCCTCTTGCACTGTTGACGATATTTCCTCAATTTCAATTTCGACTAAGGTCAAACATTGGCAGCGCCTGTTAAAATTTTGCAAGTTTCTTTTTATTAAATTCTTTCAATTAGGCAGATGTTAATTTGTGGTATTCAAAATTGCAGTGTTCAACAGTGGTGCTCGGTGTTTTTAATGGCGTTAACTGAAATTTTTATTCAAACAATGGCCTATTTGAAAATATCTATTTCTTTTGAATCTCTTAATATGAGAATTTGGTTATTAAAAATATTCTTCATACTTAAGTTTGAAGTATATTTAGTTAAGCAGTGAAAGGAGTGCTAGACAGCCGGCAATTCGCTTTCACGCGGGGCCGTTCCATCCTAGCTGCTCTAGGGGAAAGCCATTTGCTGGCAACTTGCTAGCCTTTGCTGACCACGGCAGTACCATTGTGAAGGCCGGCCTCTTAGGCCTGTCAGCAGCCTTCAACCCTGTGCCAGAAGTTGGCCTTCTCTGCTGCCTGCAAAAGGTAAG